TAGATAAAGGGAAGAAAAAATATAGTAAACCAAAGAAAGATAAATGCAATCAGACACACTTTTCATGGCTGTGCATTCACCTGTTTTCCTAACTTCATCCCATTCAAAAATCCCATTTCTCTTACCAGTTCCATCCTGGATCCGGATTACAAAGTAGCGGCTGGAATCTGTCACTGTCTCCACAGCAATACCAGGATATTGTTCTACTGGTGCCTGGGCAAAGAGCTCCCCTGACAGATAAGAAAAAAACTTTTCTGAGCGAAGAAAGCCAAAACCCAGAACTCTAGTTAACAAGCATTTCCATTCCAGTCCCCAACTTGAAGGTACTTACAAAAGCACACCAAACTAATATCCTTATTGTTAGAGTCACCTGCAAAGATTACCTGAAACTTTATCCTCAAGTTTGATATAGGCAATCTTCCCTTTTGAAGTGATTCGGAGGCGACCAGTCCAATCAGGCTGGTCTAATTTCCAGTCAGATGCCCTAGGACAGGAAAAGAGAAAGCCTCAGGCACATGTTTTTAATTTACTAAAGCCTACCCCTAATCTTTTACTGTATCTCTATTTCCCTGTCCTAGATTGCCTATTCTTTCTACCTATTAATCAACAAGAATAATTCATGATCTGTTTAGATGCCTCATGTTATATATAGTCCAAAGCAAGTAAAAGACAGTGCTGCTACTTGAGGACTTTGGAGTCCAATAAGCATCATTAAAAACATGTAAAAGCATGAATAATAGCAATAAAAAATAAAATTTTGGTGAGGTGCAGTGGCTCAAGCCTATAATCCTAGCACTTTGGGAGGCCAAAGTGGGTGGATCACTTGAGGCCAGGAGTTTAAGACCAGCCTGGCCAACATGGTGAAACCCCATCTCTTCTAAAAATACAAAAATTAGCTGGGTGTGGTGGTGTGTGCCTGTAATCCCTTGGGAAGAAGAGGCAGAGTAACTTGAACCTGGGAGATGGAGATTGCAGTGAGCCGAGATTGCACCACTGCACTCCAGCCTGGGCGACAGAACGAGACTGGGTCTCAAAATAAATAAATAAATAAAATGTCTCCTAATGATGCTATTTTCAAACTATAGATGGTATACTAGATAACAACTGCTTTACTGATCGGATAACAACAAAGTCTACTAAATTAAATACCCTAGGTAATGGCAGCGCTCCCAAATCACCAAATATATTATCTTTCACTGAACTCAACCAATATTTATATAACACTTATTAAGACAGAGGAACCACTGTTCTAGATGCTTAAGATACAAAAGCAACCGAAACAAAGATTTCTACCCTCATGAGGCTTACATTCTAACATAAGATAGAAAATAAAAAAGAAACATAATAAATAGCATAATTAGTATCTTAGAAGGTGGTAAGTTCTAAGGTAAAGAGGATATATAGAGGCATATTAGGAAGATTGAGAAGACAGAGGGAGAGTGAACAGGTTGTAGCATTCAAGAGGGTGGTTAGAGTAGTTCTCATGAAGGTGAAACGTGAGCTACAATGTGAAGCAAGTGAGTTATCTACCCATACGGACATCTAGAGGGAAAGGATTCCAGGCATAGGCAACAGCTAGCACAAAGGTGCTGAGGTCGGGGCATGCCTGGCATGTCTGAGAGACAGCAAGGAAGCCACTGTGGTTAGAACAGAGTAAGAGATGAGGTCGCAGAGGTAACAGAGGGCCAGATCATGCAGGCCATAGTAACAACTTCACCTTTCACTCTGAGTGAAAAAAGAGCTATTACAGATTTAAAGCAGAGGTGTGACATGATCTCCCTTATACTCTAAAGGATTACTACAGCTGCTGTCTGGAGAGAAGCCGTAGGGATAAGAGGGCTGAAGCAGGGGTTAGCTAAGTGACTACGGCAGTAATCTAGAAAAGTCACAATGGTGGCAGAAGTGCTTCGACTCTGGATATGTTGAGGGTAAAAGCAGCAGGATTTCTAAGGGATTAGATGTGGGAAGGGAAGAGAAAAAGAGAAGCAAGGACGACTCCAAGGTGTTTAGCCTGAGCAAAGGAGTTCCAATAACTGACGTAGAGTAGACAGTTAAATATACGAGACGAGTTCAGGAAAGATAGCTGGGCTGGAAATACAAACATCCATGAAAACATTAGAAATATACAAAATGTGGTATAATCAACTTGAACGACATCTAAGATTATTCATGACACATCTTACAAAACATTGCATTTGTGACTTGTTTTGCCAGGAGTATGGAAAAGGGATTAGCAAAGTAAAAGTTATTAATAATTCATCCTTGAGGAAGCCAAAGACTAATACTTAAAGGCTAGAAAAGCAACAATAAGGTACATCTGAACAAGAATGAGTTTAACAAGATGAGAGGTAAAAAGCTGAAAGGAGGAAAATGAAAATGAGCAAAGGTTTTGAACAGGATCTGTAAAATAAGTCCTTCCCATTCTCCTTGCTCTTGATTCCCTGCCCTCAAACACCCTCAAGTACCTAAATCTGATCCAGATTAGAGAGCTCTAAAGTTCCTCATCTATTATATATTTTTAATGAGTCATTACTAATTCTAATCATGTAAGCCATTAGCGCTAATGTAAGCCACCAAGAGCTAATGTAAACAGGCTATTAAAAATATTAGGAGGCCGGGCGCGGTGGCTCACACCTGTAATCCCAGCACTTTGGGAGGCCGAGGCGGGTGGATCACGAGGTCAAGAGATCGAGACCATCCTGGTCAACACGGTGAAACCCCGTCTTTACTAAAACTACAAAAAAATCAGCTGGGCATGGTGGCGCGTGCCTGTAATCCCAGCTACTCAGGAGGCTGAGGCAGGAGAATTGCCTGAACCCAGGAGGCGGAGGTTGCGGTGAGCCAAGATCGCGCCATTGCGCTCCAGCCTGGGTAACAAGAGCGAAACTCCGTCTCAAAAAAAAAAAAAAATTAGGAACAGCCAGGTGCATTGGAGCATGCCTGTAATCCCAGCACATTGGGAGGCTGAGGCAGGAGGACTGCTTGAGTCCAAAAGTTCAAGGTTGCAGTGAGCTATGATTGACCCACTGCACTCCAGCATGAGCCACAGGGCAAGACTCTGCCTCTTAAAAAAAAAAAAAAAGTTAGGAACAAGCTTATTAAACTATTAAATGTGTTTTTCTTGGACAAGTTCCTTATCTTATTTATCTTGCATATCTAGTGCCCAATATTTAACAAATTATGTAAGTAAATGGACATTCATGAAAACAGATTCACAGTAAAATTCCAAATGTACATTTTATTAAATCCTTACATTAGCTATGGGAAATAGCCATAAAAATCCTATCATATCTCTTTATCTCTAAATGACAGAAAGGATAACACAGTAAATAATAAAGTCTAACTTCAAAGTCCATTATTCTTTCATTACACTGAAACACACTATAGAGGTTAATATATTGATTTAACTAAGGGAAGAGGGTAGTGAATAATTTTTTTTTAAATAGTTTTATAGGTTGGAAAGCTGTTCTCTAACCGTGTGTGTGTTTGTGTGTGTGTGTGAGAGAGAGAGAGAGAGAGAAAGAGAGAGAGAGAAATGAGAGAGAGAGAGAAAGAGGTGCGATCTTGGCTCACTGCAACCTCCACCTCCCAGGTTGAAGCGATTCTCCTGCCTTAGACTCCAGAGTAGCTGAGATTACAGGCACCGGCCACCATGCCCAGCTAATTTCTTTTGTATTTCTAGTAAAGATGGGTTCTACCATGTTGACCAGGCAGGTTTCAAACTCATGACTTCAGGTAATCCGCCTCAACCTCCCAAAGTGCTGAGATTACAGGCTTGAGCCACGCGCCCAGCCTGCTTTCTAACTATTTAGGTTTCCTTTTTTTTTTTTTAAAGGAGTCTCACTCTGTCATCCAGGTTGGAGTGCAGTGGCGTGATCTCAGCTCACTGTAACCTCCACCGCCTGGGTTCAAGCGATTCTCCTGCCTCAGCCTCCCAAGTAGCTGGCACACACCACCATGCCTGGCTAATATTTTTGTATTTTTGTAGAGACAGGGTTTCACCATGTTGACCAGGCTGGTCTGGAACTCCTGACCTCAAGTGATCACCATGTTGACCAGGCTGGTCTGGAACTCCTGACCTCAAGTGATCACCATGTTGACCAGGCTGGTCTGGAACTCCTGACCTCAAGTGATCTTCGCCCCTCAGCCTCCCAAAGTGCTGGGATTACAGGCATGAGCCACCGCACTCAGACTGTAGGTCAAACACCGCATGTTCTCACTCATAGGTGGGTGTTGAACAATGAGAACACATGGATACAGGGAGGGGAGCACTACACACTGGGGTCTGTTGGGCGGAAATAGAGGAGGGACAGCGTGGGGTGGGAGTTGGGGAGACATAACATGAGGAGAAATGCCAGATATAGGTGATGGGGAGGAAGGCAGCAAATCACACTGCCACGTGTGTGCCTATGCAACCATCTTGCATGTTCTTCACATGTACCCCAAAACCTAAAATGCAATAAAAAAATAAAAATATATTAAAAAATTTTAAAAAGTTTAAAAAAAAAAAATTTCTTTCTCAAAGTCTAGAAGTCTGGTCAGTGAAAGTCTGGGAAGGAACAGCTTACACTAGGTAAATTAAAGTCAATTATTCTCTTTAATCTTATCAATCACTCAAGGAAGAATTCCTCCTGCTTGCTAAAAAGCCGTTTGTCCTTTAATATCAGCCTAGATAATGAATCCTGCTCATAATATAAAGTGGGTTCTGGTAAACCAGAAAGATTATACAGGCAAAAAGAAAACTAACATTTACAAAACCAAGCATTTATGTTCCAGGCATTAGGCCCATTCTTGTGCAAATTAAGTGAGAGGACTCTGCAAGGTAACTACTATTATATTCATTTTTACAAATAAAGAAACTAACATTCAAAAGTGTTAAGTGATTTGCCGAAGATAACCCAGCAAATAAGAGAGTGACGCCGGGACGTGGGTCACTCCCTTCACTAACACTTAATTCTGCTCTCTTCATGTACTGTACTAAAAAAGTGACTAACGACAACATGCCTCTTGGAGGATTAAAAAATGCCAATAGGCATGGAAAACATAGAAGGATAAGAGTATGCTGGCGGCGTAAGGCGCGCGGGCCCCGGAGCCGGCGCAGCGGAGCGCTGCGAGCCTGGCGCCTCCCGCCCCGAACATGCGGAGGCCGGCCCAGGCAGCGCGGGAGCCGGAGCCGGGGACCCAGCGGGCGCGGGACCTGGAGCGGGGGTCCTCGCCGCCCTGCTGAACCCGGGCCGGCCGCCCACATGCTGCCCACGGGCCTGGCCACAGCGGAGCCAAGCTGTGAACCGTGAGCTTTGAGGCAGTGGGACCTGTCAGCAGAATGTCTCCTGCCCCCAAGAGCGACCCCGAGGCCACCAAGATGAGCACCGCGGCCTGGCCGGCCCGAGCGCCTGCGTCTCTGTAGCCGGGAGCTGCGGGCCCAGCCCGCCGGCCAGCCGCCGGGATGTTGTAGCCTCAGAGGAGCCAGGACCTCAGGTTTCCACAGACCTGGGATTTGCACGGCAGCAGAGTCACCGTGGAGAGGCCAGGGTATCACAAACTTAAGGATTTTTACAAGAAAAGAGAGCAAGAGACGGAGGAGGGCCGGAGAATGTCCAAGGCCGGCCGGGGCCGGAGCAACCACGGCATCCGGAGCTCGGGGACCAGCTCGGGGGTCCTGATGGTGGGCCGTAACTTCCGCGTCGGCAAGAAGATCGGCTGTGGCAACTTCGGGGAGCTCCGCCCGGGAAAGAATCTCTATGCAAATGAATAGGTGGCTATCAAATTGGAGCCGATCAAGTCCCGGGCCCCACAGCTGCACCTGGAGTACCGGTTCTACAAGCAGCTCAGTGTCACAGAGGGCGTCCCTCAGGTCTCCTACTTCGGCCCGTGCGGGAAGTTCGACGCCATGGTGCTGGAGCTGCTGGGGCCCAGCCTGGAGGACGAGTGTGACCTGTGCGACCGCACCTTCACGCTCAAGACGGTGCTGATGATCACCATCCAGCTGATCACGCGCATGGAGTACGTGCACACCAAGAGCCTCATCTACCGGGACGTGAAGCCGGAGAACTTCCGGGTGGGCCGCACGGGGACCAAGCAGCAGCACGCCATCCACATCATCGACTTCGGGCTGGCCAAGGAGTACATCGACCCGGAGACCAAGAAGCACATCCCGTACCGCGAGCACAAGAGCCTGACGGGCACAGCGCGCTACGTGAGCATCAACACGCACCTGGACGACCTGGAGGCGCTGGGCCACCTGTTCATGTACTTCCTGCGCGGCAGCCTCCCCTGGCAGTGGCTCGAGGCCGACACGCTCAAGGAGCGGTACCGGAAGATCGGGGACACCAAATGCGCCACGCCCACTGAGGTGCTTGGCGAGAACTTCTCAGAGGAGATGGCCACATACCTGCGCTACGTGCGGCGCCTGGACTTCTTCGAGAAGCCTGACTATGACTACCTGCGCAAGCTCTTCACCGACCTCTTCGACCGCAGCGGCGTTGTGTTCGACTATGAGTACTACTGGGCCGGAAAGCCCCTGCCGACCCCCATCGGCACCATCCACACCGACCTGCCCTCCCAGGCTCGGCTCTGAGACAAAGCCCAGCCACACAGCAAAAACCAGGCGCTGAACTCCACCAACGGGGAGCTGAACGCTGACGACCCCACGGCGGGCCACTCCAATGCCCCCCTCACGGCGCCTGCAGAGGTGGAAGTCACCAATGAAACCAAATGCTACTGCTTCTCCAAGAGAAGAAAGAGAAAATCGCTGCAGCGACACAAGTGACCGGGCGCATGCAGCCCCCTGAATCTTCTCCGTGCAGCCCCTTGGGGCGGGAGCTTGTGCGAGGCCTTCGAGGCCCACCCACAGCGGCCCAGGGCCAGACCCTGGCTGGAAGCCAGGACGCAGACTGCAGGGGCCGCCCTGGCTCGGCTGGCGGCCCCACCCCGGGACGTGGGTCACTCCCTTCACGTAAGACTTTGGCAAAATTCCTACACCTGTGTCTAGTCCTCCCCTCCAAGAGCATTAACTATTTAAAACAAGGAAAAAAGGAAAAAACAGAGGCCCACCTTGCCCCCACGCCTGCCCCTCCGTTTCTTTGCTGAAGTGAGTAGTGTGATCTGGGGGCTCCGGCTGAGGCCCGGCCCCGCCAGCCGTCCCCGTTAGCGTCATGAAGTCCAGCTTGTCTCCCTCGATCCAAAGGCCGTTTTCTCGAGGGGAGGGCAGGCCCGGCCTGGAGGGGTGCTGTGGGGCCGTCTTGCCCAGGCCCTCCTGGGAGGGGCACAGGCATTGCTGCCAGGGGTGAGGCCTTGCTGCAGGCCTCCCCGAAGCCAACGGGGAAGGCAGGGGTGGGGCCGCAGCTGAAGCCGGCTCCCCAACCAAAATGCTGCACCAAAGCTTGGGCGCCACAGACACGACCACTGCAGCCTCTTCCCAGCCTGGCCCCGGCGAGTGCAGGTGGGCCCTGCCAGGCGGGTGCTTCTCGACGCACCTACTCCCAGAGGCTGTGCCCCGACGCCCAGAACCCGAGGCAGGACGGCTGGCTGGTGTCGCCCTGCCTAGCCCCGGGCCGTACTGAATGGGGCGCGGGCACAGGGCTTCCTGCCTCTGTGCTCCGCCACCCGGCCAGCGGCCAGGACAAAACGCCTTAAAGCCCCGGCCCAGCCCCGCAGGTGTGCGCGCAGGGAGCCTGGGGCGCCCTGAACTGGCAGGCGGTCCCCAGAGGGGTCGCCTGGAGGCTGCAAGGCAGAGTGGGGCAGCTTGGGGCCTTGGCTGGGAGTCTAGGTTTTGCTTTACCAAGTATACAGAAATGGCATTCACGTTTCTCTGACGCTCCCTTGAAGCCATAGAATTTAGGCGCTTTTTAAAAAAAAGGAATCAAAAACAAAAAAAAGGATAAGAGTAAAATTAAGAAGCGGTTTTAATGGCTCAGTGCAGCTAATTGATATTAAGTATAAAGGTTGTGGAAAACTAGGAAGTGAAGATTGAGAATGCAGATGGGGGATAGAGGGGAGATGTTTTAAAAAGCATGAAGAAGAAAAAGACTATAATCCCACTTCAATGTGTATCATATCCTTTAGGAGTCTTAACTCCTAAAGTTGGAAGTAATGAGCTATTTGACCGTATTTAACAGTTCCATCAATGTTAATTTATGTGATTAGGTTTCTGTGTAATCTATTGACTTCTTCTTTCAGTTAACATTTACAGAGTACCCAAAGTGTACCAGACACTGTGCTAGACCCCAGGAACACCAAGTTAAAAAGATCTCAAGTTGTTCACAGTCTAGTCTGGAGAAAAAAGGACACTAAACAATCCATTACAATACAAAATGAAGAGCCCTGGAATAGAGACAAGAATAAGGTGCTATGCAGGAACAGAAAACCAAACCCCACATGTTCTCACTCATAAGTGGGAGTTAAACAATGAGAACACATGGACACAGGGTAGGGAACAACACACACTGGGGACTGTCAGGGGAGGAGCGAGGATGACAGGTTGATGGGTATAGCAAACCACCATGGCACATGCATACCTATGTAACAAACCTGGACATTCTGCACATGTATCCCAGAACTTAAAGTCAAAAAAATTTTTAAAAAGAAAAAAGAATAAGGTGCTATGGAAACACACATGCTGCATATCTAAGCCGGAATGGAAGGCTCACATAGGGCTTCCCAAAAAAGGTGATGTCTAAGCGACTCATATAGTACCTGTAACTACCATTCAAAAGTATGTTGATTTCTACTCAAGGTCAGTTTGGGGTCCAATTAAAAGCTTATTGAAAACAGAACTGCTACCTCTTTGCCAAAGGTGCAACCCACAGGGCCCAGTGCACAGGTCAGCAAGCATAAAAATATTGATTCATGATGAATAAAACTCTGGTAAGGGGCAAAATAATGGACATAAGGAGAGGGTAACATTTCAGCCAAAATAATCATAAATGCCAGGAGGAAAATCACAATGGTGATGGGGGTCAGAGAGAGGATAAGGACAGTACCTTGGCCGGGTACAGTGACACCCACCTGTAATTCTTTTTTTTTTTTGAGACGGAGTTTCACTCTTGTTACCCAGGCAGGAGTGCAATAGCCTGATCTCGGCTCACCGCAACCTCCGCCTCCTGGGTTCAGGCAATTCTCCTGCCTCAGCCTCCTGAGTAGCTGGGACTACAGGCACGCGCCACCATACCCAGCTAATTTTTTGTAGTTTTAGTAGAGACGGGGTTTCACCATGTTGACCAGGATGGTCTTGATCTCTTGACCTCGTGATCCACCTGCCTCGGCCTCCCAAAGTGCTGGGATTACAGGCTTGAGCCACCGCGCCCGGCACCCACCTGTAATTCTAACATTTTGGGAGGCTGTGGCAGGAGGATCACTTGAGATCAGCTGGGGGAACATTATCAAGATCCTGTCTACACAAAAAAATTTAAAAATTAGCCAGGCATGTTGGTGCATGCCTGTAGCCCTAGCAACTTGGGAGGCTGAGGTAGGAGGATCCCTTATGCCCAGGAGTTTGCAGCTGCAGTGAGCTATGATTGCACCACTGCACTCCAGCCTGGAGGATAGAATGAAATCCCACCTCTCAAAAAAAAAAAAAAAAAAAAAAAAACTATGGGTAGTGAGGTGGCTCATGCCTGTAATTCCAGCACTTTGGGAGGCTGAGGGCGATCACAACGTCAGGAGTTCAAGACCAGCCTGGCCAACCTGGTGAAACCCCATCTCTACTAACAATTCAAAACTCAGCCGGGTGTGGTGGTGCATGCCTGTAATGCCAGCTACTTGGGAGGCTGAGGCAGAAGAACCACTTGAACCCAGGAGGCAGAGGTTGCAGTGAGCTGAGATCACGCTATTGCACTCCAGCCTGGGCAACAGAGCGAGACTCCGTCTCAAAAAACAAACAAAAAAACATAACTAACAAATAGTATTTATAACTGCTTTATTGTATTTCCAACATTCTTTCACATCCATTATATGATTTAATTTTACTCTTCCAAAAGCCCTTGTTAAGTATATTATCAGAAGAGCGAAGGTATCATCACTAACAGGGTTTTTTTTTTCTTCTATTTTACAGATGAAAAAATTGAGCCTTGGAAAGGGATCACACGCATCTTTTTTAACATGGAGCCCAGTGAACTTTCAACTACATAACGTCCTATAGCATCCTCAGAACCTCACAGTCATTGGATTACAAGGTGGTTAGTCAGGCCCTAAAGAGAAAAATACTGCCTCAACTTTGGAGACAAAAAGGTGTAGGAGAGATTAGGAAGGGAGGTAAGGAAGGAAGACAGAACATACTATATAATCATCAAGAAAATACGAGGAGAAGAAACAATGAACAATCGTTGTAAAGCTTACGATCATAACCTTTGCTCACTGGTAAAACAGCTGAAGGAAAAATCGAATGGTGGATGATGACAGCTGGTGACGAAATTGACAACAGTACAAAAAATAAATCAGATCATCCACAGAATGGCAAGCAATATGATCACCCGTAATTGTGCATGGGGTGCTGGAAAGGTGTGTGTGAGACAGAGAGGACGAGGATGATAAGCTGAAGGACGCAGGGAAGAGCGAATGAAAGGGGACTGGCGATGGAGCAGGCACGACTGAAAGTGGATGATGGGGAGCAGATGGGTGTCCCAGGGGGTTACGGGGGAGGCGGAGTGGACTAATGCAGAGTGGTAATTTAAAAAAAAAAAAAAAAAAAAAAGGCAGAAATATGATGATGACAGTCCAGAGTGGAGATGGAGCAGGAGGTGAGGGAGATGACAACCCAGGTAGGGAGTTCAGCAAGGTGACAATACAGAGGTAGCAGTGGCAGGGACAGGCAGCGTGCTGGCTGAAAAGGAAGCTGTCATCTGCGACAGAGTACGCGTGTGCGGCAGCGCCTCGGGGTTAGCACCTGTAACCGCGGTTGGAGGCCCGGGGCGGAATCCGGTAGACGCTGACGTCCGGCTTCACACACAGCACAGACTCGTACTCCAACTCGGCCGCCATCTTGGCTCCGCGGTCCGCGCTGCCGGGGGCCAGACGTAAGACGGGGGCGGAGCGCGGGCGGCGGAGACGCAGAGCGCGGCAACTTCTGCTTGCGTCACTTCCGCGCGCGTTCAAGCGAGTTTCTCAGATTAACCTTTTCGGTGACGCGGGGGGCCATATTGAAACCTGGAAACGGTGAGGGTGCACGGCTCACCATCTTAGGTAATGGCAAAGATGCCTCTCAGTGCTTGACTCTCGTTAGGGAGGTCTCCCTCCCAGAGAGGTGCTTAAGAAAAGCGCCATCTTCACGCCTGTAATCCCAGCACTTTGGGAGGCCGAGGCGGGCGGATCACGAGGTCAAGAGATACAGACCATCCTGGCCAACAAGGTGAAACCCGTCTCTACTGAAAATACAAAAAAATTAGCTGGGCGTGGTGGCGCGCGCCTGTAGTCCCAGCTACTGGGGAGGCTGAGGCAGGAGAATTGCCTGAACCCGGGAGGCTGAGGTTGCAGTGAGCCGAGATCGCGCCATTGCGCTACAGCCTGGGTAACGAGAGCGAAACTCGTCTCAAGAAAAAAAAAAAAAGAGGCCGGACGTGGTGGCTCACGCCTGTAATCCAAACACTTTGGAGGCCAAGGCGGGCCGATCACCTGAGGTCGGGTATTCAAGACCAGCCTGACCAACATGGTGAAACCCCGTCTTTATAAAAATCAAAAAGAAAAGCGCCATCTTCCTCTAGGCAGTTGCCCGCAGTGCACTAGAAGGATGAGGAGCATATTGAATCCTGACGGATTTTCTTCCAGAAGTCACTTCCTAACTGTAGTTACCTGGCAGAAAAGAGGCATCTGCCAGCCAGTAATCCCAGACGAGCTGCCTACAGAGAATTCATGATCTCATTGTAGTCACGGTGGATTTCATCTCTCCAGAGTCTAAACGCTGAAAATACCCAGTGTGATTTAGTGCCTCACACTCTTTATTTCCAATTTTTCAAGACGACACCTGTTGAAATATTTTGCCTCACTTTCAGCATATATTCCGATTATCTTTTTGGAAAATTTGAGCCTGTTAAATAAACTCTAAATGGGATCAACTCAACTCCTGATAAAATCGGAAGCATAATGAAGTATCTGATGGCTGATATTAGCTCGCAGTTCTGTACAATGATAAATCCTACCGAATTCTCTCCATAAATACTATCCTTTTGCGCCCCAAATGTAGACCTACCACAACACCGTAACTTAGTTCAGTGGCAAAACTGAGATACGAACTCAAGTCTGCCTCATTACAACAGCAGCAGTCTTAGTCATTTTGTTGACTGGTTGAAAACCTGCCTCTAATTTTTCCACTCTATCTTGGAAACTGGTATCTTAAATTTCAAAAAGAATTACAATATTTGTCCCTGGCGAGGACGTGAGGAATACTGTAATTTCATACACTGTTGGCAGAAATGTAAACTGGCACAGCATTTTTGAAGGGAAATGTAACAGTTATCAAAATATTAATTGTACATAATCTTCAATTTAGCAATTTAATAAGTATTGTAAAGAAATCCTTACATGCACAAAAATGTAGGTAGGATAGCATTGTTTGAATAGTGAAAATACTACAGCATTGTTTGAATAGTGAAAAAAATGGAAACAACATGAACATCTATCAATGGGAAACGGTTAATGGCGTATCTATTACTACGAGATGTTTTGAACTAAAGAGCTAGCCATTGAAAGAAATTTGAGATCTTTTTAAAAGCCAACTGCAAAAAACACAGTATTATCAATTTTTGTCAAAATACCCAAAAATTATATATGCGTGCATGTAAATGCATTGAAAAGGCTGTCAAAGGATACAGAACTAAGTGTGGAGAAAGAAACTTATATTCTCCTCCATCTATTTCTCTGTTGTT